AGGAATTGATGAAATCAGCAATACAGCAATTAAAAATTTGCCGCCTAACATCATCTGCAGCCTGACAAGTATTTTTAATGCTTGTCTTGCTCTTTCTTACTTTCCAACACCTTGGAAAATTGCTAAAATTATTTTACTACCTAAACCGGCTAAAGATCACACCCGACCAGACGGATATCGTCCTATTAGTCTACTGCCGGGCTTAGCAAAATTTTTGAGAGAATTATCCTGAATAGACTGAAACCATATTTTCAGCATCTTCCGCCGGAACAATTTGGGTTCCGTGCTCACCTCTCAACAACGAAGCAACTTGTCCGAATAACCGAATTCGCTGGTGCAGCTCTGCACTGCAAACTTAATGTTGCTATACTCATGCTAGACGTGGCGAAAGCATTCGACCGCGTCTGGCATGAGGGCTTAATTGCTAAATTAATTGACCTTCAACTGGACAGAGAACTCATTCTGCTAATCCATTCTTTTATCAGGGATCGGACATTCAGAGTCTCGGTAAAAAATGAATTATCCAGCACTAAAATAATGACTAGCGGTGTTCCACAGGGTTCTGTGACTGGCCCTATACTCTATCTATTCTACGTTTCAGACTTTCCGAGATTGCATTTAAATCATAATTCTATGCTAGCCTGTTATGCAGACGACACTGCCCTGGCAGTGAAGTCTGCTAACATCAATCATGCTATTCGGAAACTCCAAGACACTATTCCCTCCATAGAACAATGGTGTGGATATTGGAAGATACGAATTAACGCTCAAAAATCGCAGCTCCTACTCATAAGGAAAAGGAAGAAAAAATGTTCCGATCAGGCAAAGTGTTTATCTTTTTAACGAGGCTGTGCCTATCGTGAAACAAGCCAAATATCTGGGCATCACCATCAACGACAAGCTCACATGGCAGCATCACATCCAACAAATCAGGGATAAAGCGATTAAAGTCATGAAATGTTTATATCCTATGATAGGGAAATATTCAAAACTTTCGTTGGACAAGAAACGACTTATTTATCTAGCCACAATCCGACCCATCATGACGTACGCTTCGCCAGCATGGACTACCGCTACGAAGGGTGAAATCCAAAAATTACAAGTTGTGCAAAACCAATTTTTAAGAATTATCACAAATGCACACCCGTATGTGAAGAACAAACGTCTCCATGAAGATTTAAAAATGGATACAATAGTGGATATTTAAGAAGAACTAACACGGCATTTTATGACGCCGCTAAGGAGTGCCAACATATGGACATTTTCAACCTATTTCACTATGAAATTTTACACGAGGACAGGCACCTCCGTCCATATGCCGCTTTTCTACTCAGTGGAAACCAGGATTTTCCAACATAATTTGTGTTTTTAAGTATGTAGTACTCTGAAAAACTTATTTGACTTGTAAATAATGATGTTTAGAAATCTTAGCCGGATGATCATGTGACACACACAGCCACGCCCACAAGATATTACTTATATTTTTCCTGTATATACTATTATACTTTTTGGAATCGTATTTTATTTTCTGCATTTATGACTGCAACACACACCTTTTATGAACTGATTTAGTACTATTTTATGTATAACTACTGTAAAACTTCAGATTTACAGCGCTACGATGCCTGGATACCTCATCGCCAACCAGATGTCTTATCGCTTATCACGTGACATTGGTCACACCCCCTGCATCTGCTATCCTGTCTCCACGAGAACTACGTTCGGCATTTCCTTACCTGCAGCGCTCCTAGAAGCACCAAAGTTCGATAGCCGGAACACAACCTGCGATTTCGCAGGTTAATCGCGGCAAATAAAGCAAGTTGGAGTTGGAGACCGAGATAGAAAGAGAAACAGAGTTTCTGAACTACGCGCGTCTGCCTTTTTGGCCGCTCTCTCTCTAAAAGCTGTTATACGCTCGGCCGTACTCAGGCCCTTGCTAAATAAACTTCGTAGTAAAATAGGTTAAGGGGCCAACTCTCATTGTACCTTGATAGCTTTGGCTATACTTAGTTGGTTAATCTTAGTTTTAGTTTAATTCTTAGTCTTTTTAAGTTCAAGTCCAAAGTGCGGACTTTATTTGTTCACTCCTAGGCGGAGTTTTGTTAAATCTTATAGAAATAATAAAGGGTAATTTACCCTTCTCTCTTGTTGTTTCCTGTCTTCGAACTCTAGCGATTATTCGCTTATCAGTTCCTAGGTTCCTCACTTCCAACATTAACTTCGAATTTCAAGTGAGGGACCTTATAAGTGCTTCTATGTTTCTGAAGGGCCAAAAGAATTCATTACGCAGTTAAAATAAAAATTGAATGCTATTAAAACAAGAGATGTTTTAATAGCATTCAATTTTTATTTCTAACTAGCAGGCAAGCTCGGCAGAAAGCAAAATTTGTGAGTTCTATGTATCCCTAAAAAGCAAATGTAGGAAAACGTTTCAGTATGAGAGAAATTAGTTTATTCTTTGCAAGCAACAACCAGTTCGTAAGTAATTTTTTTATTGCCTAACCAGGAAACAAAAAACTTCCAGGAAACAGAGACACTTCAGGTTAATACGTATTACGTCATGATATCAATTTAATGTAATATTACAACATTTTCTCAATATTAATACAAGAATTAATGTGGCTATAATATATCGTCTCTATTATACTAATCTATAAAAATTTTTTTTGCTAACAACAGGTATTTATTTAAAGCTGAGATTAACAAACAATTTTCGACATAGAATGACATCCATGCAATCTCGTTTTCTTCAGCATCAGAATATGATCTTATATAGTAATAATAATATGTTTAATGTTTGGCAATGATATTTTTATTTCATATTTTGTAAAACTTACAAGTTTTTGATTAACAAACTCTACGATTTTAAACGAGCAGTGGCAACACTTTTCGAAATTAAGCATTTTTATCTCCAAAGCGCGACTCCTGCCTGAAAAATGAGTGCGAAAATTAGTGTTTCTAGAGTTTTTAATTAATATCTCTGGTTGATTAAAGTCGTATGAAGATGGGAACAGTCGAAATGGCTTCCCACAAAATCAAAATCCCACAGAGGGAGCACCTCTCTCAAAATTCAACTCCCGGGATTCCGGAGGAGATAATGCCGCAAACAAAAAGACGCGTACAGATTTTAGTAGTGTAGATTTTGATCTTATTCAAGAAGATGCTATAAATCTCTTTTATAATTAATGACATAATTTACTCACAAAATTTAAAATTAGATCTGTACATATGAAATATCAAAGATAGATTCGGCAATATAGATAGTAATTTATTATTACTTTTCGAGTATTCAAAAAGCAATGGGCACATAAAACGCGGAGGGCACTTACAACCTAATCTTTCCGTCTGATAGCTATACCACTACTCAGGGCTTTAATATAATCTTGTCATTCTATAGCTATGCCACTGCTCAGACACTTAACAAATACAGGAGTCCGGCTTCAGTGGGTTACTATGAAATATGAGCCCTATGCCACTCTGCGGTAAAAAAGCTCCTTATAATTCTGTTTCGAAGTTCTTTGTCTCTTTGAGCATTGAAGTCTAATTTAGAGGCTCGTGCTGACATCTAGCGGCTAAATTTATAAACTTTTCCGAAAACGTGTCTCATATTTTTAATTGTTTATTCAAATAAAAGTAATTCAGTCTGAGTTTTTCTCGCATTTGGATTCGGAAACGATATTTCTTTACTTATATTACTTTGATTTGTAAGTTTTTTTAAAATAGTAAATTATGCGATAAATATGAAAAAAAAAAAAAAAAAGTCTGTAAAACATTCAATAGTCATTAATCATATGCATTAAAAATTGCAGTAAAAGTTTTTAAGAATCGGGAGAGTGAATCGTAGATTCAGTTTTTAAAACTTCTGATATACTGATTGTGATTTAACAATGAAATCTATATTTACAGCATAAAACGTTTTTATACTCTGTCAATAGATGGCAGTAGTACACCATACTGTGAAATCAATGCAAAGAGATTAAAGTCTTTTCCTTTTAAAAAGCTGACAAAACATCTTTCGATATCAGATGCCGTTATCTAATGTCATGCGAAGGGGTAAGAAAATTCGATAATGAACCATATTGTAAAGATAAACCCGAAGTTATTTTTGTATCATTTTACAGCTTATATCTATTTTTTATTCATTTTAAGACCTTATTAGTCAACAATAGCGTATGTTTCTTATTTATCAGTAAAAAACAAATCAGGCTGAAGATGTTTGCTTAACAATTCTGAAATATGATGAAGTTACACTTTTAATTGCAAAGATTGAAATCAAGACATAAGAAGTACAAATTTGAAGATGCTCATGAACAAATATTTCTGGATAAAACGGGGGAAAAATACAAGCTAATTTCTTATTTTTGAAATAGTTTAGTGTATTCTTGGAAAGTTAATTATGGTGCTGATGAACACTTAAATATTTATTTAAAAAAAAGTTCATTTAAGTAAACTTTAATTTTATAATATAACCAAAAAATAAAGAAAATTTGAATTTAATAATAATTGTTTTTATACTGATATGAGCTAGTTTATTAATCTTATTTTTTGAATGAAAGCAGTTAAAAAATTAATCATTAAAGTTTCAAGAGAAATCATAGATGTGTAATAGTTGTGAAAACTTATTCAAACATTCAGTGAGTTATGGCGATCATTCGTTATTATTTTGTTGAGGAAATAAATTCGAATTGTAAATATGTAGGTTGTTGTGCGAGCCCTGAGTCACAGGAACAACTAATGTTAACGCCAACGTTGCTAGAAAAACATTTGCGAGGAAACCATCGATGAGGCGAAGCCTATTCACTACGAATGCATCCGCCACCACAGACCCGTATAAAAAGTAGTTCTATGTAGGATGATATTTTGAAGCTATAAATTTGTATTTTATAGAATTAAAAGTTACAGGAAATGCAAAAGTAAAAACAAATTTAAAGAAAAATAGAAGGATATAGATTGGAAGTTTCAATCTGAAGCGTGTTATTATCGCGGATGGATACAAGAGCTCGTTTCGCAGATGTTCCCGCTTTAGCAGTCTACATTTGGAATAATGGTGGTGTTGTGTTTATGAGAATTGTGTCCCTTGCTTTCTACTAGTGTATTTTGCTGTGTGGACAGCATGTGTTAAAGCGAGGAAGATCTGATAATGAGCGTCGAGTACCGAATCGCGAGCTAAGAGGTGATTTGGATTACACGATGCCGTTCGACTGGGTGGTGGTGTGACGACAACAGGCATGGCAACGCCAGCTCACGCTCGAATGGCTTGCCCTGAACAAAAAACCCCTGAAAGCGGAGACCAGGAGGGCAGTGAAAGCCTCAAGAACGGAACATCGCTCGAAGACTCGGACGACTCGACCGGTAACGTGTTGGTCAAAAATCGGGTTCGATCTCCCGCGGGAAGCGCCGCCGGCAATCAACAACACAGGGACATGACGATGGATAACTTTCAAGATGGAGGGACCGCTCCGCAACCTAATAGTAGGCCTGCTAGCGCGAACTTGGAAGGTAGTTTTCCCGCTTCTATGGACAGATCGCGACTTGACTACCAGGCATTCAATCAAAGTACGAATAGGGATAATGAGGATTTCAGGAATTCGCAGGAGAATTACAACCACGGCGGCAGCGGTTGCGATCTGAGCTACGGTCGGGGAAGCTATGCTAGTGGCGGTGATCAACATGGCGGACAGGGAAATACCAGTGATATGACGACAAACTCGCAGTCAAATAAAATGTATCCACAATATAATCAGCCCCAAATGAGGCCAGGCTATTCCCAAGCCCCTCGGAGCATCAATATGGGACCCCAACAGAGGTCGCCGGGGCCCGCAATGGGCGGTGGTTACCCGGGCGGCAATAACTCTCAACAACAGAGGTTTCTATCGGGGCCCAGTTTATCTCAACAAACGGGGCCCACCCCGACACTGAACCAATTGCTTCAAGCTCCTAACTCATTGCAAAGATATCATAACAATTACGATTACAGTGCGAGTCAGGGGTTGCATAAAAACATGGGGGATCCTAATACGTCTCAGTATCAGGGCCCCAATAGTTCGTGGGGTAATATGAGAGGGTCCTCAGGTTACCCTCAACAAATGTCATCTTCTATATACAGAAATCAGGTAAAAATTTCTTTATTTTATTACTCTGTAATGATATTCTTTAACAGTGCTCTATGTTAGTAGTTTGTGTACATATTTGGGTATTTGTTTTAAATGCAGTCTGATTAAACTGTAATAATTCTTGTGAATGTTTAAATTTAATTGCTGCAGGTCAAGAGTTTTCTTAAATCTGAAATTTTGGCGATCTGAATTGTGTTTCAGATCTTTTATAGTGTTCATACGTATTGAATATGTATTTTTAATGAAGCTCCTGTGCTTCTTTCTGAAAAAAGTGAAATGGTGCTAATTTTATAATCTGTGATTAATATTTTGCATGTAATAACTTTAAAGTGTACGCACCTCCTAAACATACTAGTGACATGTAGAAGAGTATGTAAAGGGCATATGTATGTGTGTAACTGAAGTGCTGTGTATTGGATTTTTAAAAAGGTCATAACGAGGTCATTATGATCGACAGAGAGTTCAAACATAGATACGGAGTTCGGGAAAGTTGTCGTGTGAAGCGACATGTTATGTTTCGTAATAGTGGGGAGGTCCGGGTGTTAGCCACGTGCCGAAGTTGGCCTGCGGAGAGGAAATTTAAATTTTGGAGGCAAAAAGTGAGCCGCCGCTGACAGCTGGGAGTTGTGGAGAATGGCGGCATCTGATTGGTTGACCGAGCCATGGAGATTCTGAATTAATCACATCTGTCACTCTCTGGCGCTGCCATTTCCTTCTCTCGTTCGCTCGCAGAAAAGAGGACCAGCCCATTTCGTATTTAAAGGGATGATGATATATATTTTTTATTGGGTCTTTTTGTAGTTTTATTGTACATGTAAATTAAATAATTGACGTAATATTCTTTTTTTCCTAGAATAGTACTTCATAAGTACGTGAGCGTATTTAATAGACATATCTGATTTCCGTAAAATAATTTTTTCCCCTCTCCATTTGTTTTATTGTTTATTTTTTTAAATTAGGTAATATTTCTTTGGCAGTTTTTAAAATGGGCAATATTTTAATTTTTAAGCATTATCAAAAGCGTATTTTTAGACCTGATAGTGCATATTTCGGTATTAAATTAGCATTTTAGACAGTTTTTCTTTTCTTTTAATTTTTATTTCTAGTGAGCATTAGTTTTTCAGTGACAGATTTGACACCTTAAAATGGCAAGAAGTACTAGCGAAAACTTTCCGATTTCTATTCTTGTAATCGACTTTTTGTAATCGAAATTTCAGAATTAAATTTCTGTCTTTAAATGTGCTTTCATTTGGGCTTAAAATGAAAGCATTTGTAAAATAGTCAGTGGGGTTTTTTTTTTTTCCAACTTCAGGTTGTATATTCATGAAGCTTAAATAAAATTTGGTGTACATTAATGGTAATTTTAATGGAAAAAAAATATTGGTTGCATAGGTAACCTATAAAATTAGTTTTTTATTACAAGTTATTTGTCATCTAACAAAATGATGATATTGAACATAGCAAAAATTAAACTAATTTTAAATTAATATAGTACTTTTGTAGTTATCAGAAAACACTTTAATATTACTTTATTTAGGAATTACTGTAAGCTGATATAAAATACTAGATAATTTGCACCAAACTGCAATCGACTTGCGCTAATGCAGTTCAGGGTTCCCGCACGTTATTCCGCGATACGTAAATATTAAGTAGCTGATTTTTATATCAATTATGCCGTATCATACATTAAATTAGCAAAGTGAAGCTCTGTAGAAAAGTTTGTCCCGAGAAAATGTTTGAAATTAGAACATCGGTTGATCGAATAAGTCGGTAGACGAAGACTTCAACTACAGTCCTGTGCTGCTACCTACAGACATCTAGGATAGGTGCGAAAAAGTGCGATAATTACAAAGCAAGTACAGTACAAAATCCAAAATCCGGACGTCCATTATTCAGAATGATCTAAAATCCGAACCTCAAAGCCACAAACTTTTTTTTGGTATGCTTTACGCATGCTTTCACTTAGACACTAACTAAAATACTTCGTTATGAAAAAACAATCATGTAAGCATAAATTTATGAGATTAATAATTTGGCTCCGTAGCTGAGTATCTGCTAGGCATACATCTCAAATCAAAACATTCACCTATTTTATATCCTGACACCGACCTGGCGAGTCGTTTGCTTTCATCACCGTATGTTTATCAATACATGACAGCTTCAGTAATAACTCGTGCAGTGATATCTAAACTTTTTTTAATATTAGTAATTCATTAACAAGAATATGGCAACCTTTTATGCTAACATTACGCTTGGGAATTATTATAGATTTTTAAATGCTCTAAAAAGTGTTGACGAAAAATTTAAAAAAAAAAATTATAGATTTTTGTTAATGACATTCATAGGCCAAAAGATTACATTTAGTGCTTTTTTAATTCAGAATAACTGATATGTTATTCACCATAAACCCAGAAGTGCCGGCAGAATATGTCAGCACCATATGGGAGAATTTAGGAAGAAGTTTTTTTTATAATGCAAACTTTTCTTAATCATAAAACATGCACGACCTCGAGCATTTAAAGGAGTAACGATTTTCCCCGTTATAGATCATGCAAATAAAAGTGCATGGATGACACAAGCATTAATGAATGATAGGTTTGAAAATCATTTTATATCCGAGGATCGCCAGCATTTGAATTCAGTTGGTTTACTTGATGACTCAAAAATAGCCCTGATTGTAGACAATTGTTCGGCTCGTACTTCACTTTAGTGAGAGATAATGTATCCGTATTATACTTTCCTCCAAATTGTAGCCTGTCATTCAGCCTATGGATATCAGAATAGTGCGCATGCTGAAATGCAAATATTAAAGTAGCATTTTTAAAATCCATGTTAAATTTCTTGAACAGTAGCAAGACTATTCAAGAATTTTTGAAATATTTTAGCATAAAATCTGCTGTGGGGAGCATTGCAAGATCGTGGAAGGATGTGTCTCCAGACACGTTAAAAAATGCTTTGCATAATTTATGGCCAGCTACCATATTTCATGGTGAGGACGATGAAGATGATAGCTGCGAATTTGAAGGTTTTCAGATATCGAAAACGAAAGGTGAAATTTTCCAGTTAATGGATTTTGTAAAGAAATGTGGAGAAGCAATAATAACTGAAGATGATATAATAGAAGTTTTTCACTGCGATGACGGTGCCCTAATCGTCAATCAATTAACGGACAGCGAAATCTGTAGTATGATTTTAGATCCAGAAAATACTGCTACGGATAGTGACAGAGAGGTTATTGAAAATGAAAAAATTTTGATTGACAAGTTAGTTGGTATTCTCTACACAGCAATTGCAGGACTTGAACAGTGGAAGTAACTGAACAAGAAATTATGTCTGTTCATAGAATTAAAGAGAAAGGATTAGCACAAAAAAATGAAGCAACTTAAACAACTTACATTGAAAGAAATGTTTAGTAAAGTAAACAAACATTCAGCTTTTTTTGTAAAATTTGATACCCTTTAGATCATAATTGCTCTTTATTTCATAAATTACGGTTTCATATTTTTAATTGTAAAATTTCTGCATGCCATCTTACCAGATTTAAATTTATAATTTATAATCCGGAAAAATCCCAAATCTGGATTCGCCGAAGTCCTGATGAGTCCGGATTTCAGACTTTGTATTATATTAGCCAAAATTTGAGGGTACACCAAAGTTTGACATGTGAATAAAATAAAGCATATAATACATAGTGCAAGGGCATAGAATTTAAACAAGAATAAATAAGGTTACATATTAAGCATTAAGATTTTAGTGACATACCGAGAATATAGTATTTAAGCAAACATAAGAAAAATTAATTTTTCTGCAAAATATTAATATCTTCCAATATGTAGTAGAAAATATTTGTTTTTCGACCAAGATCATCTCTGCAACTTAGCATGTCTGGGAGTTTACTTTTGAATATTTCAAAAATCATGATCCAAACACAGCCATTTGATAGTAGAATCAGTCTCTATCCACTGGTCTGCAATGGCTCTTCAAACCTCAATCAATTGGCTACATAACAATTTATTATTTCAAAGATTTACAGCTTTGATAATTACATATGCATATGTTTGAAGTAGAATTTTTTATAAATATTTTTTAAATGATTAGTATTTTAGTAGACAATATCCTTTAGTATTTGGTTGTACAGTCAAATACTGAAAATCCGCCGACCTGAAATCCGTGTTGCCTCTCAAAATATAAACATTAAGTTTATAGGTTCTGTAAACCGCAACGTTGATTACAAAATATTGAAGAAAAAATACTTACTGAATAATGACGTCATAATTACTGAATAATAATGAGTCATGACAGAAATACAAAATTATTGCCATCATGATAAAACTTTTCCCCCCTCTAATCTGCATCGAGGTAAAAAGGTAGACGATTCACTCAACTCTTCTTTCAAGTTCACGATTCACATTGTTGTATTTTCTGAGCTTTGTTATTTCACGAAATTATTTAGTGCTGCAATTTTTTTTTATCTGGATATTTTGTGGATATCAAGAAGAATTAAGAATATTTTAAATTTCAGCCCTTTTTATTACAATGACAGATAAGAAGCGCACTCATGATTTTGCTGCTTGCAACATTGAAAAATGTAAACACATTGCATTGACGGTAATGCAAAAAGTGCAAATTCTGCAAAAGATGGAAGCAGGTGCTACTCCTCCGTTTATAGCAGAACCGTATGGAATTGCGACCCGATTGTGTATGATATACGGAAAAATAAAGAAAAGCTGTTGAAATTTTACAGCAAAAGTGATTATAACGCCAGAATCCGAAATCGGAAATCTTTGCATGAGGCGAAATCGGCAAACTTTGATCCTATGTACATATAATACAATGAATAATATAATCAGTTTATATATGCAATAATAATTTAATGCATATAATAAGTTATTGCAATAATGTATATAATAATTTAATTAAATTATCTAATACGCTTTATTTATTTTTCACTTTTAGTCTGAATGCAGTCAAAAGTCGTCGGGACTTCGGCGATTCCGGAT